TCTTTGACTCCAGTTCCTGCACAGAATTCTTACAGCCTTTGTAATTTCCTGAGTGGTAGGAGAATCTTTTGTTCTAGGCGGTGATGCTTGCTGGGCTCCAGGATGATCTCAGAATAGAGACTGGTTGCCAGGAATCCGATCATATGATTAGAGGGTTGGAATCTTACAAACACACACACACACACACACACACACACACACACACACACACACACACACACACACACACACACACACCCCCTCCCACGAGGATAGGGAAGCTAGAGGTGGTTGAGTTGACCAATAGGCAGTGACGTCATCAATCATGGTGGCTTTGGAGAGCTTCCAAATTGCTGGACATGTGGAGATTGCTGGAGGGTGGTGTGCCCTTCCCACCAGTCTTGCCCTCCACAACTCTTACATCTGTTGTTCATTGGTAACCTTTACAGAAAGCTGCGAGAGATGAATCAGTGATGTTCCTGAGTTTGGTGAGCTGCCCCAACAAATTCATTGAACCTGAAAAGGGAGTTAAGGGAACTGTAGCCAGTTGCTTGGAAGCACAGGCTGTGGTCTAGAACTTGTGACTGTCACCTGAAATGGAGCAGGCAGTCCTGGGAGTCTTGCATCTAAGACTAAATCTAGGTAAACAGTATCAGGGCTGAATCAGAGGTCAGCCAGTGATACCAATGGAGGCTTGCTTGGTTGGTAAGAATACCGCCTGACCCAGCTATCTGCTGTGAGAAGTGTTAGAAAATAGGAAGGAAAAACACTTGGTCTGATTTCTTCCTAGGTCTTACAGAGAGGAACCTGGGCTTAAATCCCAGCTCCACTTCACCCAAGCTATGTGACTTTGAATGAATGACCATTTCTCTGGGCCCAATTTCTTCAACAGTAAGCTGGTTAGTGTGAACTGCTAAGCAACACCCTCTTCCTCATCCTCTTTTCCTTCCCCTATCATGAAAAAAGCTTAGGTCTCACTCTTCCCAAGTCCGAATGAGGAGGAGGAGGTGGAAGAAGAAAAGGAGGAAGGGGAGGAGGAGGAGGAAGAGGAGGAGGAGAAGGAGGAAGAGGAAAAGGAGGAGGGGGGGAAGGAGCAGGAAGGGGAAGAGGAAGAGAAGGAAAAGAGGAACTGTTTGAAAAAGCAAGGCTATCTCCCCGTCACTATTGAAATGACCATGGCTCCTTCACCAGACCCCAGGTAGCCATTCCTTGAGTTGGTCCAATCGGTGTCTGATTAGTGAAATAATCAGAACCTCCATTCTTCCCCTGTAGTATTTCAGCAGCTCTGTGGCTATTAAAAGTGATGCATGTGGACTGACTCCAGAGAGGCAGATGGAAGAGTAAACAGAAAATGTGACCAGAGAAGCTCCAACGGTGGGTGAGACCAACATTAACTTTGCAGGCCATACAAGAAATCTACTTCTGTTTCTATGTGCATAAAATAGGGCCAATAGGCACACCTACCTTGTGGAATTGTACATTTTATTTATTTATTTATTTATAATGGGGCTTTAACTCAGGGCCTCATGTTACTTGACTTCTTTGCTCAAGGCTGGCACTCTATCACTTGAGCTACACCTCTACTTTTGACTTTTTTGCTGGCTTATTACTTTCCTGCCCAGGATAACTTCAAATTGAGATCCTTAGGTCTCTATCTCTTGAGTAGCTAGGATTACAGGCATGAGCCACCAGTACGGACCTTGTATATTTTACATTGAATAGTAATCACTCAGAAGTGTAGATATGTCAACTTATACTACCCACATATTACTGCTGTCTTAAAAAAAATGTATCTAGGGCCGGGAAGGTGGCTCAGTGGCAGAGTGCTTGCCTTGCATGCGTGAGGCCCTGGATTCGATTCCTCAGCACCAACATAAGCAGAAAAAGCTGGAGTGGCACTGTGGCTCAAGTGGTAGAGCACTAGCCTTGAGCTGAAGAGCTGAGGGACAGCACCCAGGCCCAGAGTTCAGGCCCCACAAAAAAGTATTTAGTGACTTTCATCTAGTCTGTCATGAAATGGGAGATCCAGGGAAATCCCCGGACTTTTTTTTTTTTTTTTTTTTTTTGCAGTGGTACCATATACCCAATGACAAGCCTGTATTGCTCACAAATAATTTTACCTTGAAGCTAAGTGATGTCAGGGAACAAGCACTAAATTTTAGAATCAAACGCTCATTTCAAAATGACATAATTTTCCCATCTCTGTCTATACTTGGAGGCTTGAAGTTACTCCAAGACATACAAGATTTTTGTGTAGGCCAAACTGGTCTTTTGTCTGAGTAAACGTAAAACATGTCTCCATCTGTTCTTCCTGGGAAAACAGACAAGAATAAAGTTGTTTTTTTTTTCTGGTCCTAGGACTCAGGGCCTAGGCACTGTCCCTGAGCTTTTTCGCTTAAGGCTAGCAATTCTACCACTTGAGCCACAACTCCACTTCTAGCTTGTGTGTGTGTGTGTGTGTGTGTGTGTGTGTGTGTGTGTGTGTGTGTGTGTGTGGTTAATTGGAAGTAAGAGTGTCATAGATTCTTCTATTCAGGCTGGCTTTGAACAGTGATCTTCAGATTTCAGTTTCCTCAGTAGCTAGGTAAGATGATAGGATTAAGTCACCAGTGCCCAACGTGAAGATGTTTGTAAATGAAAGCTAGCAGCAAAGGTCTTAGCTCAGTGGTAAGATGTTTACCTAGCAGGCTAGAAGGCCTTGGTCTGATCTCTAGTACCACATACAAAGGAAGGCTCAAATTATGGTGTTTAGGGTGCAAATGAAACATTATCTCTCTCCATAAACATTTTGATTGTTCTAAGTGTGAAATGGATTCACTGTGTACTGGTTACCAACTTCTCTTAGTTAAGTGAAACAAGATACCTCTACCACCATCGCCACTGCCTTCTTCCAACCCAGGCCACATAACTGAAAGTGAACTTACTATCTATTGCCTGGTGACCAGAACAACAAAAATCTTAGGAGTTGTTACCAGCTAGTTCCTCAAGGCTCAGGAACGTTCGCCAGAGGCAGACAGTCTCATTTGCATGTGCCCATTAGGCTGCAGCTTAGGGACCCCAGAAAGTGACTGGCACCGCCTTATACCCCAGGGATGCACGAATTACTGGGCAAAGCATTGAAAGACATCCTATTTCTGGCAAGGGGGAGGCAAGAAGGCCAAAATAGAGGTTACTGTGGCTAGTTCACAACTCTGTCAGGATGTAGTGCATTTATTCTTGAAAACCCCAGGCAAGAAAAGAGGAGAACAGTTTCTGACAGGAGAGCAGCCCTCAGTGACCTATGCCCTTCCCTGCTTGCTGTCACGCAGAGTGAGGGCTGGTCCTTCCAGAATCATCTTAAGTGCATTTTTAAAATAATTTTATTATATATTTTTGTGAACATACTGTACAGAGGGGTTACAATTACATGGGCAGGATAATGAGTACATTTCTTATCAAGCGTTGCAGCCTCCTCCTTTGTTTACTCTTCACATCCCTTCCCAGCCTCCCCCCCTCCCCCCCCACCCAATCCTCCCCCCCCTCCACCAACGTTGTTTTGGACATGACAACTTGTACTTCTCATTGTTGCAACAGGTCCACCTGTATCCTTAAATGACTTGTTTTTCCCCATCTCCTCCACAAGTTATACTGACATCAAATATAGTGAAAGCAGGGGTTATACTGTGGGGGAGGGACATACAAAGCAACAAAGAGATAATCTTATAAATGCGTTAGAAACAAATGCATGAAAGAAAAAAACATTAGAATACATATCTAAGGATTCATTTTCCTAACATCACATTATCTGACCTTTTCCGCTTGACTCATATATATACTAGATATTGCAAATAAGGGAAACCATGGGACCTATGTGTCTTTGGGCCTGGCTTACTTCTTAAGTGCATTTCTTGCAGTGATGGCACGGTACCAATGCCTCTTGAAGGATGAGGTCTGCACAGGACAGGGATTCAGAGCATGGATTCTGGGGCTAGATTATTGTTTTAAATCCTAGCTTTACACAACTTTGTGCAGATTCCCTATCCTCTCTACGCCCTGACTGCAAGATAAAATACACAAGTCCACAAGGCTCACTTTCTAGTTAGTGTTCAGAAAGGAAGATCCTGGCCTGCAGCTGTGACTTTGGCTTTGCAATTTAGGGAGTGCCGGGGGCCCTGCCCCATCACCTGTCTAGAAATAGCTCCCTGTGGTTTCTGCCACTCCTTGGGGGGAAATGGTTATGCAGTAACACCATCCCCCCTCCCGTTCCAGGTCCAGCTTTGTCACTTCTACCAATGGAGTCTTGCTAGGGTATTTTTCCTTTTCTACTATTTTGTTTTTTTCATCTGTACATTCAGAATTTGCATATCTCTTTTTAGAGGTTAGACTTACTTTACTCTCAGGACTCTAGTAAAAGGTAGTGCTTGGGCCTGGGAAGGTGGCTTAGTAGTAGAGTGCTTACCTAGCATGCATGAAGCTCTGGGTTCAATTCCTCAGTAACAGAAAAGGCTGGAAGTGGCGCTGTGGCTCAAGTAGTAGAGCGCTAGCCTTGAGCAAAAGAGCCTCACAGACAGTGCTCAGGCCCTGAGTTCAAGTCCTGGAACTGGCAAAAAAAGAAAGAAAGAAAGAAGGTAGTGCTTTCTAGAAACAAGTTTAATTTTCATCTCATATTCTGTCCAGTAAATATACACTGAGCATGTTTCCTGGGCTCCACTCTGTGCCAGGTCCTGGAGATTCAAAACTAAAACGCAAGTTCCACCCTAAGGGGCTCAGGCTTCTGAGCAAGACAAACATGTCCGCAGAAGATTCCAGCACAGTGAAGCTTTTGTAACTCCTGAGAGATAAAAGACTTACTTGCTCATCACTGGCATTGTGATGGGAAATGGGAAATCATTTCCTGATCATGTTTGGCTCAGAGAGGAAGAACAGGGTGTTTTAATGTCCCCTGGTTTCAAGGAAAAAAGAAAAGAAAAAGAAAGTGTTTATTTTCCTTGAGAAGAAGAAACTGAAATCTGAAATATTTGGAGGCTGAACAAATAGGAAGAGTTTATTTTTCTTTGACTGACCACATGGCCAGTTAATGATTAGTAAGCCCCAAGTGGGAGTCTGGACTATTTGAACTCTTGGTGTTGGGGCTTGCTTTGTACCAGCTCCAGCTCTGAGACCCCAGCTCAGTCATGACCCCAGTCTTCTGGGAGAGAAGTTTCTGGTTGTGGGGGTCCCTGCTGTGGTTCAGCATTGGAAGTTCAGGTAAGCCAGGGGTTTGGGCCTTGGTTTGGAACTTTATCTCACCCAGAGTCTGTTTCTTAAACTGTCTTCTTTTAAAAAAAAAATTATTACTTTTTGTACTTTTTTTTTACTGTAAAAATGCTGTACAGAGGGATACAATTACATGAGCAAGGTAATGAGTACATTTCCTATTAAGCATTGTTGCCTCCTCCTTTGTTTTCCCCTACCATCCCTTCCCTCCCACCTCCACAACTATCCCCTACCCTCCCACCGAAGTTGTAACGTTCGTTTTCAACGTAGTGTTGAACTGTCTTATGTAGTACTAGCCATTGGAAGGTCCCCTAAAAGTCCTTTGTCTCTCCTGAGGTGAATGTAAAAGGGGGGGAAGAAAACCCCTACTATCTAATGGGAATACAGTAAGCAGTACACTTTCTCAGGTCACAGAAGATGAACTTCCCCGGGGTGTGTGACTCATTATTCTAAAATCTGTATTGCTATTACCACCCTTGCCAACTTGCACAAGAATTTAAGTTTTCAAATGGTTCGGGAAATTTTTCATAATGATCTTTTGGCGTGGAGGTTAGCTATCTTTTCTAACCCTACCTATCCAAAGTTGAATTTGGGTTTGTGATGCCTATTGATGGGATTGTGATCACTGGTCCCTCCTAACCTCAGAGCGATTTCCCTCAAATACCATTTACATCGTATGGTATTTTTTTTTCTTTCCCCTGGTAAAGAACCTGTTATCTTTACACTTCCTTAATATAGCAAATGAACACTAACATACTGCCCTCCTCACCCCAGAAGGGAGGAGCCCTTTGGAAAGGATCTTCTGCCTGCAGGTATCCATATGACATATTACCTGTGGGTTGTTCCTGTTCTTCATATCTTTTTTTTTTCTTCTTCTTCTTAATGCTAGTACTGGGGCTTGAACTAAGGACCTGGAATCTCAACTTGGCTTTTTTGCTCAAGGCTGGTGCAGTGCTACTTGAGTCATAGCTCCACTCCTGGCTTTATGCTGGCTAATTGGAGATGAGAGTCTCAAGGAGGCCTGGGATGTAGCTTAGTGATGAAGCACTTGCAACATCCTGGGTTTGATCCCCAGTTACCCCCCCCACCAAAAAAAAAGACAAAACAAAAATGCACTAAAAAAAAAAAGACTTCAAGGACTTCACTGACTGGATGGCTTTGAACCTTGATCTTCAGAGCTCATCCTCCTGAGTAGCTAAGATTATAGGCACAAGCCACCAGCACTCAGCTTTGGAGTGTGCTTGTACCCAGGCCAGCTCAGGTAGTTTCTGAAGTCCTCCCCTACCTGCATGAGGTGGCATTGCTAAGTCTTCTCCCAGCTCCCAGCTTCCTGGCCACAGGTCTCCTGTGCCTGCTTCCCGTGGGGCATAGGTTATTTCTTCTTTCCTTGACAGAATTTGAGCTCCCAAGGGCGGCTATTGTATACCCTCATCCTTGATGCTTCAGAACTTAGGGTTTTTTGGCTGATTGAATGGCTCTTCTGTGGTTTATCCCCAGCTAAGCTCTGAGGGTTTGAGATTTTTTTTTTTTAATTGGATACACCTTTTCCAGATGTTGGAAAAATTGCCTTGCAAAGAGGTTATAACTTGGGGCTGGGAAGGTGGCTCAGTGGTAGAGCGCTTGCCTTGCATTGCTTGAGGCCCTGGGTTCGATTCCTCAGCACCACATAAGCAAAAAGAAAAAAGCCGGAAGTGGCACTGTGGCTCAACTGGTAGAGTGCTAGCCTTGAGCTGAAGAGCTGAGGGACAGCGCCCAGGCCCAGAGTTCAGGCCCCACAACCAGACCCCCCCCCCAAAAAAAAAAGAGGTTATAACTTTTTTTTTTATTGTGAGAATACCGTACAGAGGAGTTACAATTACATGGGCAAGATAATGAGTACATTTCTTATCAAGCATTGTTGCTTCCTCTTTGTTTCCCCTTCCCATCCCTTCCCATATTCCCGCTTACCCAATCCTCCCCCCAACACCAAAGTTGTAAAGTTTGTTTTTTCGACATAATGACTTGTACATCTCATTGTTGCAATGGGTCCATCTGTATCCCTAGTTAAACAATTTGTTTTTGCCCTTCCCCTCCACAACTTATACCAGCATCAAACACAATGAAAACAGGGGTTATACTGTGAGGGAGGGACATACAAAGCAACATAGAAATCATCTTATAAATATGTTAGAAACAATTGCATGAAAGAAAAAAAAAACATTTAAATACTTATCTTGGGGTTCATCCCCCTAACATCAACTTATCTGACCTTTTCTGCTTGTCTCAGACATATACTAGTTATTGCAAATAAGGGAAACCATGGGACCTATGTTTCTTTGGGCCTGGCTTACTTCACTTAATATAATTTTTTCCAAGCCTTTCCATTTCCTAACAAATGGGGCAATGTCATTCTTTCTGATGGAGGCATAGAATTCCATTGTGTATATATACCACATTTTCTTGATCCATTCATCTACTGAGGGGCATCTGGGTTGGTTCCATATCTTAGCTATGGTAAATAATGCTGCAATAAACATAGTTGTGCTGGGAGCTTTAGTATGGTCTTGTTTGTGATCATTTGGGTAAATGCCCAAAAGTGGGATTGCTGGGTCATAGGGGAGCTCTATGTGGAGTCTTTTGAGGAACCTCCATACTGCTTTCCAAAGTGGTTGAACAAGTTTACATTCCCACCAACGGTGTAGGGTTCCCTTCTGTCCTCATCCCCTTCAGCAAGGTTATAACTTTTTACTGGCCTATGAGCTTTTCTCACCTCTTTGCCAACATTCTATAGCATCATACATTTTTAGAATTGTCAGTCTGACAGGAAGAATAGTATTACATCATTGCAGTTAGGTCGTATTGCTATGGTGATGTTGATGCAGTGGCTCCTTCTCACCTTCAAGTGTCACAGCCGGCTCTTGCTCTTCAGGCATAAATCTGGGATGAAGGAAGATTCTACTTCTCAACGATCATGCAGTCTCCTCAGACTCCCAGAGTTCACTGCCAGTTCCCCTCCATTCAGAAAATCTCCCTCCATATGTGTATCAGACTCTTACAACCTCAGCAGGTCTTCAGTTCCCACAACTCAGGCCTTGACCTCCTTCGGCTGTCCTTGCTCTGACCTCTACCCAGCAAGTCAGCCGACCCTTCCTCTTCTCCTGGGCCTTCTCCAGTTACCTGATGTCCAGGATCTCCTTGCCACTCTCAGTTCACCGGCATTCTCTGGGTGAGGGTCCTTCTAGCATCAGGCCATCCTCCCCTCATTCCCCACCTTCCCTCTCAACAAGCTGTTTGGCCATTCCCTAGTGGAGTAAGATCTCCATGGAGGCATGAATACTCTTCATTCGGAGAATTTAGACCATTTTTTTTTTTTGGTCGGTCGTGGGGCTTGAACTCTGGGCCTGGGCCATTCGGAGAATTTATTTTCTCCCTGGCTTGGCCAGACACATGGGAAGGTCACCAGAAATGTTGATTAAATCCACCCACACTGAGAACTGGCAGGTATTGAGCATCTGAGGAGCCTCATCCACGGAACACAATCCCTTCCCTTCGGCTGAAGAGGTCTTCTAATAGCTATGAGTGGACATGGGTTGCTACATTTGGAAAGCACCCTGGTGACCTGCAGGACCTCATTACCCAGCATCCTGAGGGGCTGGGGTAGGAGTGGCAATGTGTAGAGGGGGCTTGTATCTGTCCTGAGAAAAGTAAGGAGGAAGGAGGAAGCTGCTAGCAGAACCTTGTTAGTGTTTCCGGCTCCTTTGACACAGTACTGGCAATGCGTATGGGCTAGTGTCATCACTGTGAAGTTGGCCGTGGGTGGTTTTGCCTCTGGTTCTTATCTTGCAAGGCCCTTGTCTCATGAGCTCTAGGAATTAAATTCATGAGCAAAGAAGGGTGGGTGTGAAAGTGTGGAATTCATTTACTGAGAAGAAAAGAGAGGTCTGATTGGTTGAAAGGGTTACTGATCAGGTGTCTGGGTCTGGGGGCTTTCTCTGAATAGCTTTTGGATCTTGGTTATACTTTCGTGATAATTAGGTGTTTGGAAGGTAGCTTGCTCCTTGGTCTCCTGTGTGCAATATTGTGATTGGTTGTGCCCTTTTAGCTGTTGGGAGTTTGAAATTTACCTGTGGTTTGGAGTTTACATGTAGTTCCCATTCCAGCTCATGCTGCCTTCCCTTTTCTCGACTTTCTAGGACGAAGGAAAAGTTGAAATACTTGGACTGTTTCTATAGAGCAATTAGTATTTTTCCATCTACCTAGAAGAATCTTCTTCCAGGCCCATTGCCTGACTGCCTGTGCCTGTCTGGCTAACCTTTCTATTCCTGGCCACTACCAGCTCCTAGGGCTTTGACTATTACTCTTGTCAGTCTGCCGAGACTGAACTTTGCAGGTTCTCTTTTCTGAGGCCTTAAACTTCATGTTCCAAAGAGGAGGACAAGGTATGGCGTAGTATATCTCCTGGGCTCCAGAAGAACGTCACAGACAGAGAGCAGCTGGCAGGTAAAAATGTGCCTCCTAGCTCTCTCTGGACAATTTGTTTTTGGAACCATCTGGTCCGTAAATCCCTCCATGTACCTGGAGATCCTGGCCTCTCATGAAGGGAAAATTTGTCCCCCAGAGTTTGACACCAGAGTTAACTACCATCTCAGAGAAGGACATAAATAAATAAATACCACTTTTAAGTCAAATAGCATCTGTTGAGCATATGATTTTGCTTTCTTTTCTTGATGCTGGGGCTTGAATTCGGAACCTTAAACTCTCACTTGGTTTTCCTATTCAAGGCTGGTGCTGTACCAGTTGAGCCAAGCCTCCATTCCCAAGCATATGATTCTCTAAATATGCATAGATTTTATAATAGTATAAAAACGATCCATTTCTTAGGTCAAAGCTTACTCGGCCATGAAATAGTTTTGTATCTTGAGTTTCTGTTGTCCTTCTCTTTCCTCTGGCAGCCTTGGGGATTGAACTCGGGGCCTCTTTCTTACTAGGCAGGTGTTTTTTCTTGGTGTCCTGGATAGATTTAGATCTGTGGATACTTTATCTGGATTGGATATCTTGGTTGTTCTCATACAGTGACTTGGGATTCTGAGGCCTGTTTTCTGCTATGGGAAACAGTGTGTATAGTAAGTTGAATAGAACAGTGTGTATAAGTTAGTAGAACTTTTCTCTAAAACTAGCTTGTTTTCAGTTTTTTGATGGGATGGATCTAAGAGTACTATTTCAACTCCTGTATGTTTCCCTTTTCCATCTGATTATCTGTTTTTTTCTTTCTTGTCTAAGTTTTGATAAGTTGTACTTTTCTAGGAAATGTCCATTTTTAAGGAAAATATCGTTTCAACTTTTGGGTGGGTATAAACATGTCCTTTTCTGGTTTGAAACAAACTGATTGTGTCTATATTTATATCCCCTTTCTATTTCTGATATTGTTTGTTTGTGACTTCCTTTTTTTCTTCCTCTGTTTTATCAAAAGTACATCTAGCTTATTATTCTTTCCAAAGAACCAGCTTCTGGTGTTTGATGTGTGTGACAGGCACTGCTCTTAAGCATTTGAGAGAACAAAATGGATAAAATGCCTGCCTGCTTTGGCTGGAAGTCCTTTCTAAGGTGGGAAGATAATCAGTAAACAGTAAGTATAAAAACATCAAATTGCATAATAAAGTAAAAGGTGATGGTTGTTATACAAGAAAGTAGACAAAGGTAAGAAAACTTGAGAAACCATGGGCAAGATCCACAAGCAGATAATAATTTAAATAGTAGAGGAGAGAAAATGGCATTTGACAAGTAGATTTGAAGGGAGAGAGGTGGTTAACATTCATGGCAGAAGAAACAGCTGTAGCTGAAGGAAGAGCAAAGAAGACCTGGCTGGAACACAGTAAATAGTAAGGCACATGGCTTCTAAGGTGTGTGCGTAGGGGTGTGGATTAGGTCATTTAGAACCTATAGACCATTGTGAGGATATCAGGTTTTATTCTCAGTGAAGTACTTTAGAGAATTTTGCACACTGGTATGACATGACTTAGTTTTTAAAAGGTAATCTTGGCTACTATGAGTCAGTTAGACTAAAGGGGCCAGAATGTATCAAGAAAATTTGTGACAGTTGTGGCAATGATTCTGAGAAATGACCCAGGCAGTGAGTAGGTGGATGAGAATGGTTGTATTCTGAGTATTTGCTTTCGATGATAGCAAAGACTTACTTAGAGTTGTGTATAGGAGACAAGAGAAAGAGCGGACTGAGAGATATGCCCAGGAGTTTGGCCTGAGAAATACAATGACTGAGCCACTAATAATGTTGCCTAGAGCTCACTGTTTTCTCTCCCTTTCTGTCATTTAAACTATTAAACTTGATATTTCTTTCACTGTATTTTATTTAGAGCTGTTCTGTGACTCTTTTCTGAGTTTAACTTTTTTAATTTTTTTATTGTGAAAATACTGTAAAGAGGGGTTAAATTACATGGGCAAGATAATGAGTACATTTCTTATCAAGCATTGTAGCCTCCCCTTTGTTTCCCCTTCCCATCCCTTCCCATCCTCTCCCCCACCCCACACCCCACCAAAGTTGTGAAGATCGTTTTTCCACATAACGACTTGTACATCTCATTGTTGCAATGGATCCTGAGTTTAACTTTTCTAATCTAACTCCTTTTATTTTCTTCCTAGTATCTGTATATAAGTTTATATGTTCTTCCTGTTAAAAGATCAGTGTAGGCACCGGAAAAGTTCAGAGTTTATTTGAGCAATTGATGGTTGATGGGTATGGATGGTCTAGTAGCAAGTAAGGCAGGATTTTACTGAAGAGATTTGAGGGGGGAACTTTTCAAAGGTACATATGGAACAAGGACAAATAAAATAGTTGATAGGTTAAAGAGGAGGAACAGTTTCGTGTGGTAGAAGGTGAGTGGGCAAAAATCTTGACTGGTGAGGCTTAAGCTTTGTTTTCCTAGGCTCTGATGGCTCTCCTTTAGTTGGGTTCCTATTTGCATAGGTAAGAACTCAAGCACTGGAGCTGCCCAGCTGAGTAAATTATTTTAACCCCCAAGTGCTGTATTAACCATTTCACACCAATTTTAATATGCATTTGTTTGTCATTCTTTTGTTTTTCCATTTTTTATTATGATTATTCTTTAACCCATGTATTTCTTGGAAGACTGTTCTGTATTTCCAGATGCATTTGAAAATTACTTCTGAGGTTGAATTCTATTTTTTTTTTTGGCAGTCTTGGGGCTTGAACTCTGGGCCTGGGTTCTATCCTTGAAGTTCTTTTGCTCAAGACGAGCATTCTACCACTTTAAGCTACAACTCTACTTCCAGTTTTCTGGTAGTTCATTGGAGATAAGAGTCTCATGGACTTTCCTGACTGGGCTATCTTCAAACCCCAATCCTCAGATCTAAGCCTCCTGAGTAGCTAGGATTACAACCGTGAGCCACCAGCACCCTGCTTGAATTCTAAAATTTTATGGCATTTTATTTAGATAATGTCATCTGGATGATAGTGATTCTTTGATGATTGTTGGGGTTTGTTGTACTAATAAGTTTTACAATATTATAACAAAATATTGAAAGCAACTGACTTGAAAAAGAAAAAGGTTTTTTTAGCTTGCATTGATTTAGCTGGGAGGTTCATGATCAGACTCTCCCATTCATTTGTCCTCTCCTCTGAGCAACACATCACAGCAGGAACATGTGTGGTAGAAAAAGGCTATGTCTTCAGGAAGAAGTGGAAAGAATTTAGAGAAGTCTGGGGCTTTACATTCCTCTTCAAATGCATGCCCCAATGACCTGAAGACCTTTTGAGGAATACCACAATTACACCCAAATGATAACACTTGCTTTGTGACATATTATATTGATTTAAAAGGATTTAGTTCCGTTTACTGGATACAGGTTTTCCTATATGATCAGAAGAACAGATTTCTTAACTTATGTGGCTCAAATCTAATGCTCAAGTAGAGCCATTTTATCCTTTCTTTAAAAAGCCAATGGCTAGTTGTGTGCATGCTGATAACCCTAGCACTTGGGAGGCTGAGGCAGACAAGAGTTTTGTAAAGACCTTCTCTGCAACTCCCTGTTCCATGGTAGTAATGTGAGGTAGGGACTGGATGGTGTGTTTGGATCAGCGTGCCTAGTGGTCTTCCTCCAGTTCTCCCTGTAGGAGGTGTGAGGAGTCAGAGGCCCCAACTCATCATCTCAGAAGTCGATGTGGATGGGGGGGGGGGCGGTGGGGGGAAGGAGGATGCTGGATATTAAGATGAACCAGATTTTCAGCTTCTTGGGAAGGAAGAATTTGATGTTACTTTTTTCTGATTGATAATACAAAAGGTCCTTCAGTCACCTTTGCTAGAAATGTCTAATTTAAAAATATGGAAAGTGGAGGTATGGTTCAAGTGGTAGAGTACCAGTTGGGAGTGAAAAAGTCAAGCAACAGCACAGGTCATGAGTTCAAGCTCCCCAGAAATAGGAGAAAGGAAGGAAGGAAGGAAGAAAGAAAGAAAAAAAGAAAGAAAGAAAGAGAAGGAAAGAAAAGAAAGAGTGAGTGAATTTCTGCTGGTGCTGGTAGATTATATCAGTAATTCCAGCTACTCAGGAGGCTGAGATCTAAGATCATGGTTCAAAGTCAGCTTGGGCAGAAAAGTCTACGAGACTCTTTTAATTAACCACTAAAAAGCCAGAAGTGGAGCTGAGGCTCAAGTGGTAGAGTGCCAAGGCCTTGAGTTTACGTTGCAGCGTATGCATGGATACACACACAAAGAAATAAAGATGTGTATTATAAGGTGTCATAGAGCAAGTGTGGCTGGTTAGGGCTTTTCTCAGCTAGAGAGGTAGCCACTGGCGAGGCACTAGCCTCTTCTCAGGACAAGTGGTTAGATTGGCAGAGGGCGTTTGAAGCCTCCAAGATGGGCCGTCAAACCAAGGAGGGAGAGAGAGACTAGTCTCCATGGCAACTGCTCATTTGGTTGCCCAGGGTTCTTTTTATATTTTGTGTCTTGATTTTGATCTTAATAATAATAATAATAATAATAATAATAATGTGTTGGTAGCTGGCCTTCAACTAAGATCCTCATGCTCTCTCTTAGTTTTTTTTTTCCCTCACTTGAGCTAAGCACCAGCTCCACTTCTGGCTTTTTGCTGCTTAATTGGAGATGAGAACCTCTCAGATATGTCTGTCTGGGCTGGCTTGAATTGAGCAGCTAGGATTACAGGCATGAGCCACTAGCTCCCAGCTTTAGGGCTGTTTTCAGATGTCGGGATGAGCATGTCAGTGCTGTATAACAACTGAGATGTGGGGCTGGAGGGGCTGGAGGTCTGAGACTACAGTGTGTGTGTATGTATGGGGGCGGGGATGGTAGAGTCTGCTCCACACTTCCCTCCTTGGCAGTCGGTGGCCTCATCTTCTTCCTGTATCTTTTCACACTGTCTCTCCTCTGTCTCTGTCTAAATTTCCTCCTCTGCGAGGGACACCAGTCATCCTGTGTTCAGGCCCCACTTGCCAGCCCTATTTGAACTTTGTAAAGACCTTCCTCATATACAATGGTCTTCTGGAGCTTTGGAGGTTAGGACTTTGCAGTTAGGAATTTGGTGGAGGGTCTTTCCCCCCAGCTCATAAGAACAACCCCATCCTCACCATCTTTAACTGCTTTGAATTGAGCAATATTCATATTCCCCTCTGGTATTTTATCTTAGACATGAAAAATACTCACATTTGTCTTTTCACTCCAGAAACGCTTCAGCCTTTAGGCAATAGGTGAGTTATTCTTACACCAGCTCAATTCTAATAAACCCAGTGCCCGTAAGTCCAGTCTTCTTTTCTCCCTTTTATGGACAGATGACCTCACGGTGCAGGTTTCAATTCTGCTTTATTTTCTTCTAGGGGATATACCTCTCACAACACAGCCAAAGTGCACCGACTTCCAGAATGCCAACCTCCTCCGTGGCACCAGCCTCAAAGTCCAGTTTCTCCTCTTTACCCCTGAGGATCCCAGCTGTGGGCAGCTGGTGGAAGGAAGCACTGACATCCAAACCGCTGGGTTTAATGCCACTCTGGGGACCAAACTCCTTATTCATGGATTCAGGTGGGAGCTAAACCACCGATTGGATATTCCTGCCGAGGAGCTAGGAAGGGACCATATGCCATAGGAAGTCAGTGGGAGGGAGGAGAAGAATGGATTTAGGGCTTTGTGGTGCTCCCTCAGGTCATGGCTGTCTCTGAAGGTTCTTCATATGCACCAGCCACACACACACACACACACACACACACACACACACACACACACACACACACACACACACACACGTCTATCCTTGTTGATCACTTCTGCACTCATGTCTACACACTCACTGGCAGTACACACATGCAATTCTGGCCAAGCCATTGCACATAGAGCTTTGGCAGGGACAATCTCAGTCATTCCTGGGTGAACACACATTGTGTTGTTACTCCTGGAGCATGGTTTGCATGATATGATTTGTCTCAGACAGTGAGGTCCTGATTTTCCACAATTACCCAGGTAATTTTTCTGCCCAGGATTTGATTTCCTGCTTTCACTTTCCCCTTAGTTCCAGGGCCTGGCCACTGTCCCTGAGCTTTTCTGCTCAAGGCAAGTGCTCTAGTGCTTTGAGCCACGGTTCCATTTCTAGTTTTCTGGTAGTTAATTGGAGAAAAGAGTCTCACAGACTTTCCTGCCAGGGCTGGCTTCAAACTGCAATCCTCAGATCTCAGCCTACTGAGTAGCTAGGATTACAGTAGTGAGCTACCAACATCAGGCTTATGGTGTGATTGTTTATGAGAACTACAACCATCATATCCAGAAGTTAGCACCTCTCAGGAGCTGGGCACTCAGGTGGGCACAAAGGTACCATTCAGAGGCTCACTGCTTCCTGATTCTGGCCTCTCTCTGCCTCTTGGATGGCTGTACTCCAAACCCTGGCCATGTGATTCCTTCATAGACCTTGCTTGGCATTCCAAAGTCTTTCTTCTAACAAGTCTTTTTTTTTCCTTTCCATTTGTTCTAGTACTGGGGTTTGAATTCAGTACCTGAGTACTGTTACTTAGCTTTTTTTTTGTTCAAGGCTGGAGCTCTACTACTTGAACCATACCTTTACTTCTAGCTTTTTGGTTATTGGTTGAAGACAAGAGTTTGAATGACTTTTCTGCCCGGGCTGGCTTCAAACTGATTCTCAGATCTCAGCCTCCTGAGTAGCTAGGATTATAGGAGTGAGCCATGGGGTATCCAGCCTTCTAACAAGTTTTACAACTGGTCACTAACCAAGGCTGAGTGTGTACCTACCTCCAATCCTAGAGAACTCATGAGGCTAGTCAGTCTGCCTGCTCCCAGAACCCCCTAAACCACTTCCTGGGGGCACATACCTGTGCATATTGGGGTATAGTATGTGGGCGGGGATTACCAGAAAAACTTGTTTGACCCGTTTGTTGTACAACCTTTCTGAAAACTTTCCCATTATTCATATTCCAAAAAAGTGTCAATATACTCTAAATTCCAGAAGGATAGGGACTGTACCTAACTTGCCTTTACTTCTTGGAAAACACCTAGATTATTCCTTGGCCTACAGGTACTCAGTAAGTGTTTGTTGAATGAATGAATACATTAATGGGTGAATGAATGAAAACATCCTCAAGGAAAGAGCCTATATTCTAGAATGAGAATTAAGATCCTAACTCTTAGTCCCAAGGTACAAATTCTTTTCCACAGTGAACACTAACAGCTGAGAGGCAGTAGCTCACACCTATTCAGGAGGCTGTGATCTGAGGATCAAGATTTGAAGCCAGACAGATACTAGAAACCTTGGGAGACTCTTATCTCCAATTAACCTGCAAAAACAAAAGGACCAGAAGTGGAGCTGTGGCTCAAGTGGTAGAGCACCAGCCTTGATTTAAAAACAAAAAAGCTAAGAGACAGTGGCCAGGCCCTGAATTCAAGCCCCAGACCAGCACCTGTGCTGGTCCTTCTCTGCTTTTCACTTTCCTCACTGGGTTTGGGACCCATAAAAGTTTCTATGACAATGGATATCAGCTGGGCAGGTAATTCCTTTTCCTTCTCTCCCTTTTGTCACCTTCTAGGGTGTTAGGTACAAAGCCTTCCTGGATTAATAAATTCATCAGAGCCTTGTTGCGGGCAGCAGATGCCAATGTGATTGCGGTGGACTGGGTGTATGGATCTTCAGGAGTCTATTTCTCAGCTGTGGAAAATGTGGTCAAGCTGAGCCTGCAGATTTCTGGCTTTCTCAGTAAACTCCTGGTGGGTACAGAGAAGCTTAGGGTGGTTGAGGCTGTTCGTGGAGGAGAGGGTTGTCAGAGAGAGAACAAAAGTAACGTTTGCAAATCTTGAATTGGGCCCTTGGAGTGCTGACCTTGGGCAGGGCCTTGAGCCTCCTCTGCAAACCATCGTGGCACAATGGATAGTGGCTGTGGAGGACTGGAATGCAATTATTCCTGAAAAGGAAATGGCACTGTGAGAGGACTGTCAGGGTGCGCAGCCAGCAAGGGGTTGTGTGGTTCAGGCTGAGGGTTCCCCTTTTCTCTGAAGCAGTTGTGGTGAGCACAGCATGCCCAGCTGTGGCCTGAGTGGAATTGTCAACTGGCCCTCCTGTAGGTCAGGGGACTTTGTCGGGGGCTCTGGGCCTGAAAGAATTCACCAAGAGGCCGAGTGGCAAGCAAGGAAGCAAAAAAGCAAAGACTTCTTTACTTTCTAAGAGAGGAAAGGGGCAGATGTACAGTGTTGCCCTTTGTAGGGGTAGGGCTGAATTTATGAGCATGGAAGATTAGAGGCAATGGACTCCTGACTCCGTGTGTGTGTGTGTGTGTGTGTGTGTGTGTGTGTGTGTGTGTGTGTGTGTGTGTATGTGTGTGAATCCTGGGGCTTGAACTTAGGGCTTTGGCACCATCTCTTAGGATTTGTTCAAGGCTGGAACTCTACCATTTGAGCCACAGCTCCACTTATGGCTTAGCCGCAGCTTCACTTGTGGCTTTGGGGTAATTGATCAGAGATAAGAGTCTCACGAACTTTTCTGTCAAGGATGGCTTGCAATTGTCAGATCACAGCCTTCTGAGGAGCAAGATTACAGGCATGTGCCACCAGCATCTGGCCTGGTATTCTGCTTTGTAGTTTTAGCTCAGCTAGCTGTTCCACATGACTGCTGGACTCATCAATTTCTTAGTAGTTTTGACCTGATGGTTGTTGGTCAGCTTGTATAATGCTTTCCAGGAACTTATTGTTAAAACAAGACTTGGGTAGGGTTTTGCCAGATTTTGAGAAGCAGTTTCTACAAATTAAGCAAAACAGCCTTCCTGTGAGACAGCATGGAGTCCCTTACAAAATGGACCAGGAAAAGCTGATTTAAGTTAGACCTTATACATTCCAGGTGCTGGGTGTGCCAGAGTCCTCTATCCACATCATTGGGGTGAGCCTGGGGGCCCATGTTGGAGGTATGGTGGGACACTTCTACAAAGGCCAGCTGGGACGGATCACAGGTAACGTTCTTCTTGTCCTGCTCTCCCAGGATCGGGGGACAGAGACAGGTGCCCTGGAGAACCCTCTTCTCAGATAAGCAGAGGGGTGGTTGAAGTCTGTGTTCTTAGGGTTGAGACATCTGTTATCACTACAGTATATTTGTTATGGGTCTTTTGCATGGAATAGGGTTATTGTGGTATGATCAGCAGTAGCAGAGGCCATGCATTCCTTTTTGAGTTTCAGTATCTGCATTTGTAAACTGGGTTGCAATAACTCATAGCTGTGGCCAACTGCAGAAATCACCTTCAGACAGTTCTGCTAAATACCTGCAGAGGTGTTGGGGACTTGATGCTTTAAAAGCCATTCTTAATCAAGAAGATCCTAGAGTGTGTAGTAATGAGGCTAGTGTCCTGATCCTTTGGTGGGACAATTCTCAGTCATGTTCTACAGAACCCCTCAGAGATATCCCTATGGTTACCTCAAATATTATTCAGCCTTTGCTAAATGGTGGGTATCACTAAACTCACTTTATTTATTTAGTTGCTTGTTTATTGTGCTGGTCCAGAGGCCTGAACTCAGGGCCTGGGTATTGTCCCTGAGATTTTTTTTTTTCTCAAGGCTAATGCTTGGCCACTTTAGAGCCAAAAAAATTGAGTCATTGAGAGGTTAGCTCAAGAGAGACAACAGACCTAGTATAGTAACTCATCCCTGTAATCCCAGCGGTTTTGGAGGTAGAGATTGGGAGGATTGTGAATTGAGGTAAGCCTGGGCAAAAATTCAGTGAGATTCCCATCTCAACCCTTAGGTCAGGTGGGGGGTTCCCATCTGCAGCCCCAGATATGGGGAAGCATAGATAGGAAGATTGAAATGCATAGCCTTATCACAAATAACCCAAACAAAAAGGGATCGGGGTTATGGCTCTAGTGGGAGGGTACCCACCTAGCAAGTATGAGGCACTGCGTTTGAACCCGGTACACAGGAAGTTTCTGATTAAGGAGCCTCGGTCCCTGTTGGAAGATGGTATAACCTACACTAAAGGGACTGCCAGGAAGGGCATGAAGTGGACCCCTAGTGGTTCCTGCAGGGAGAGGAAAGAGACCTGGATAGCAGTCTGTCCTTGCAGGCCTGGACCCCGCTGGACCTGAGTACACAAGAGCCAGCCTGGAAGAGCGCCTGGATGCTGGAGACGCCCTCTTCGTGGAAGCCATCCATACCGACACCGACAGTGAGCTGGGGCAGCGCCTGGGGTGATGGAGTAGGCCCAGGTCGGGGCCGGCAGGGAGTCCCTGGACAGAGACGCCCTGTTCCTCTCAGAGGGCTATCTCTTCCCAGAGGGTTGTTGACCAGGATGAGCTTGAAAGTCCCTAGCATTTTATTCATTCTGCAGCTCTCACTGACACTGTGAGCACTGGGATGAATGGTTTGATTTCAAGCCACTGGGAAGCGGAGGATTCTCTCTCATGGACCACAGTAGTTTGACTAGCAGTCTGTCTCTGATTCAATACCAAGTCTTACGTGACTGGGTTGGGGAAGGCATCACTGCAGCCTCAATTGTGGGAAAGTCAGGCTACCCTTTCAGGCTGGTGTACCTGATCCCTGGGGATGGGCGTATTCCATTCCTCAAGCACCCAGTCCAGTCAGGCCTTCCCTCCTGCTGTACAACAAGCCCAGTTCTCAGGATAATAGAGAAAAAGAATCCCCTTCAAGTAGTGACACCCACAGGAAAGACCCTCCCAACCCCAACTCTCAACCCTTTATGGCCAAATAAAGCACCTCAAGCTAAGTGGGAAAAGAAAGGAACATGCCTCTCATTTCTACCCCCTGGGGCCTATGTCAGGCACTGTGCTCAATGAATGGAGTAAGGAGCAATAACATCTGTTAACATCTGTGCCTGACCAGAAGAGCACCAGTTCAAGTGAAAGGCATCCATATCTCCTGCTCTATGGTCAGAGGCCTTCTTCTAAGCATACATGGCTCATAGATGTGTGATTCTAGAAAACTCGTGCTATCCAATCCCCTTCATTGCACAGATAGGAAACCCAAGCTCATAGGCCTCTGCCTGGCTCATTGAGTTAGCCTTGGTCTTGAATACAGCAAATCTTTCTTGAAAAATGTCAAAGTCATGGAGACAGGCAGGAAGTGGAAGCTACCTGGAAGGCAGCGCTGAATAGGGCAGTTTCAGTTTGGAATAATGAACAACTTTTCAGCTAGAGGGTAGAGATGGTTGCATAGCATATGCGTGTACTTAATGGTGCTGAGGACTTGGCATGTTTCAGAGACGGGAGAGAGAACTGTGTGGTTAGAACACAGTAGAAGGAGGAAGGATGACTGAAAGCTGGAAAAGAGGGTGCTGATCCAGTCTGGCCACAGCAAAGAGCTTACATTTAGTTGTAAGATCAGTGACAACAGGCTGATGATTTGGATGTGTGTGTGTGTGTGTGTGTGTGTGTGTGTGTGTGTGTGTGTGTGTGTGTGTGTGTGTGTGTGTGTGTGTGTGTGTGTGTAGGATGGCCTGTTACAGGGTGTTTGCAGTAGGAGTCTGGCCTACAGCTTGGCTTAGGCCAAGGTAGTTATGGTAGAGATGGAGAAAAGTAGAATGATTTAGAATTCATTTTTTAAATTATTTGGTCAGTCGTGGAGCTTGAACTGTGGGCTTGGGCTCTGTCCCTGCGCTCTTCAGCTCAAGGTGAGTGCTCTACTACTTGAGCCACAGCACCACTTCCAGTTTTCTAGTGGTTTATTGGAGATAAGAGTCTCAGGAAGGCTGGGAAGGTGGCTGAGTGGTAGAGCTCTTGCCTTGCATGCATGAGGCCCTGGGTTCGATTCCTCAATACCACATAAGCAAAAAGAAAAAAGCTGGAAATGGCGCTGTGGCTCAAGTGCTAGCCTTGAGCTGAAGAGCTGAGGGACAGCGCCCAGCCCCAGAGTTCAGGTCCCACGACCGGATCCCCCCTCAAAAAAAAAAAAAAAAAAAAAAAAAAAAGAGTCTCAAGAACTTTCCTTCCTGGGCTGGCTTTGAACCGGGATCCTCAGATCTCAGCCTCCTGCTAGCTAGGATTACAGGCATAAGCCACCAGTGCCTGGCCAGAATGCATTTTTAAGGTGGTGCTGAGCAGACTTTTCCTGGGCTGAATACAAGAAGCAAGGAAAAGGCATGATTGAATGATGAGTGGTAAAGTCTCTGGAGTCATTAACATTAAACTGTACACCACTGACTTCTTACAACAAGGAGAAACTCAGTGGTTTTGGCAGACGGCCTTGACTCTGTCTGATGGTTCAGAAGGGGCATCTGGGAGATCCTGGGGGTAGGGCCACAGTGAATGAGCAAGAATTACAGTCTGTCTCTTAAACTCAGATCTCTGTTTCTACATAGTCGGGTAGGCACAAAAATAGGTTTTGAGGGAGACTATGAAAACAGAACTCCACATTTATTTATCTGAACTATTGCTTGAAGGAAACAGAAACTATTCAAAGAGGAAATTTACTAAGTTTACATTTACTCATTTATACAAACTTGTGTCAAGGAGCTTCTCTGATTTTGTTTGGCCACTGTGAGTACCTTATCAATTGATTCTCATGTGGTTTCTCTCTCGCAAAGCTCTTTGGGATGAGGCAGGCATAAGCTGGGTGGGTGCCAATGGCAGACTGCAGGATCTGCAGCTAGGGAACTCTGAAGCAGAAATTAATAGCTATTTGCTTCTTTCAGACTTAGGTATTCGGATTCCTGTTGGACATGTGGACTACTTCGTGAATGGAGGCCAGGACCAACCTGGGTGTCCCGTGTTCTTTCACGCAGGTCAGAAAGCCAGGAGAGAGTGGGTTTGTTGTTGTTGTTGTTGTTATTGTTGTTTTTTGTCAGTCATGGGGCTTGAACTCTGGGCCTGGGCGCTGTCCCTCAGCTCTTCAGCTCAAGGCTAGCGCTCTACCACTTCAGCCACAGTGCCACTTCCAGCTTTTTCTGCTTATGTGATGCTGAGGAATCGAACCCAGGGCCTCATGCATGTGAGGCAAGCACTCTACCACTAAGCCACCTTCCCAGCTCTGAGAGAGTGTTGTTTGGCTGGTCTATAGACTGCAATTCACCAATCAACAGTCTGCAGCCAGTGTGTTCCTGAGGATGCCCTTGGCTATGTCCTATGATGCTTTTCTCAGCTGAATATCTTAGGAGCCATGGATTTCCAGAGAGGAGCCTTGATATAGGAAACATACCTCAAGCTTAAGCTGCCTTCCCCGCTTCTCTAGGCTTCTGCAGCTCAAGTCAATAGTCTATGGTCTTTCTGGTCTATCATTGGTGGCACCGCTCACATGAGCTGCAATCGCTACAGAGCAGAGTTGCTGATTAATTAGAGACTTTCTAGCTTTGGTTGACTTTGAACCATGATCCTCCAAGTCTGAGACTCCTGAGCAGCACCAGTGCCCAGCTTGTTTGCACATTTTCAAATAGTAACCAACAGCAACAACCACAAAAACAAGATTTTGGTGTGCTGGGATATTTGACAAATTTATTTGATCAGTTATTTTCCATGTAATTTTCAACACATAGAAGTTGAGCTTCCAACCTCCTTAGTTGGATAGGATGAAGATACATATTTAAACACACACACACACATACACACAAATAAAAAATGGTTTGTGTGAATGACAGTAAAGACAAAAATATGGGGAGGACAACCGTTTCCAGGGATGGGCTCAACATTTCTTTTTTTTTATTGCTTAATCACTTTTATTTGGTTTAACTGGTAAATAAATACAAGAGAACTTTAAATGCTGACAATATAGTAAACTTTAAAGAATTTCAGTTTTACTCACTTATACTTCTTGGAATGGAATATATACATTATTCATCAACAAATGCTTAATGTGATTTAAACTTATATTCACCTTATTTTCAGAAACTTGAAAAACAACCTAATTAAATGAAGGATATAAGAAATTATTTCTTTTCCTCTGAGAATTTAAAATAATCTTTTTTACAAGTTGAAACCCTTAATAAAAAATTTAGAATTATAGTGTCTAAGTATAACAAAATGGCCACAGTTACGTATTTTGATCATTAATAGTGGAAAAAAAATTAAGGTGGCTCCTAACACAAGGGAAATTAGTAACTGAGAATTTTCCCTTCTGGGGACTCAAAGTTTTGTCTTGATTATTATTTTTACCTCATCTTTTCAAACACAATGGACTCAACATTTCTAACGCTCCACCTCTTCCATTGTATGATCCCATAAGAATGAATCTCAAATTAAGGAATTTTCTTCTTCAGCTGAGGTAGCTCAGTAAAATTAAAAGGAAAAAAGGAGGATGCAGTAACCATGTCCGATCCTATTTTTAGAATGTGGCTCAGGGGACATCCCAAGTATTTATAGCCTCTGGACTCTAAAATTCAGAAGACTTACAGTAAAAGCATGGAGGGAGTTTCCACTTGTCTTGATTGAAACCTGGCTTGTTTTTCCCATCCACCCTGTTCAGGTTACAGCTATCTGATCTGTGATCACATGAGAGCTGTGCATCTCTACATCAGCGCCCTGGAGAATTCCTGTCAGTTCATGGCCTTTCCCTGTGCCAGCTACAAGGCCTTCCTTGCTGGGCAGTGTCTGGATTGTTTTAACCCTTTCCTGCTTTCCTGTCCAAGAATAGGTAAAATGTCACCCTTCTGGTATCCTTTGACAGTGTGGGGAAAGCTCCAGCCCTGTCTGCTGTCAGATCTTAAACATCCTTGTGTCCTGTGGGCAAGAAGTCTCTCCAACTGGGGAAAAGAAAAATTAAGCGATGAGATGATCAGCCTTTTCTCACCTGGATGAGCCTCAGCCGCCCGGCCCTTTCCCCCTAGACTGCTGTCAGCTGCCACAGTTGCTCTGTGCCACACAGTGTACCCATCTAGAGTCCTTCCTTACTCTTAGACTAGAAGCTTTCCATGGCTCTTCCAGTAAGGTTAGCTCCTCATCAGTGCATTGTGGGGAAGTCCCAAAGTGACACACAGGCTCTCTTGAGTAGTTTGTGGAGGTGGTGGCTAATGCCAGCTGGAGAGAAAGTGCCTAGTTGCTGGGTGACTCCGGTGCATTGCTGGATGATCCGGGACTACATTGGAGAAAGGTGTCCAGGAGGGCTGAAAGACCTGCTTCACTTACCTGTGCATACGTGGCAGTGACTATCCTGGTACTTTCCAGGGTGAAAAACTCCAGGACAAACTGGGCAGTCCAAGTGGCTCTTCCCTACTCCCAGCTGCCTCTCAGAACCACAGAACCTGTCATTCCTCAGACAAAATGTGAAGGGAAGATGAACAAAACCTGAAGGGAAGATTACACCCTGAGCCAATGTAATTCCCCTCCCTGGGCTCGCGTCTGCTTCCCTGGGTGATGGGACATCGCATTGTTCTTCCTTCACTTCCCTCATGCTGAGCACCTCAAGGGTTCTAAGCACTGGCACTGTTGATGCCTCCATGTTTCCTCCTCCTGTGGCTCTTACCCTCACTATATTGTCTGCCCCATATGCCCTTTCTCTGGCTGCCAGCAGGTCAAGAAACCCACTGTGACCCCACTGCATAGGATACAAGTGCCAGTAAGACAACTGCCAGACACATGATAACATATATGGGACTCGATGCATTTACACACAAAGGAGGGCATATTTAAAGGGAGGACTCAAAAGGTATAACTCCTCTGAACAACTAACATATTATTTATCAGGACAAATACTAGGAAGTGGAAACAGGTTTTGGGAGTAGGAAAAAGAGGGGGACACAGAATCAGATTTTTGTAAACATTCTGTATTAAACTTAGGACTCTTTGCAATTAACATAGCTTAAAAGGGCCATGCAGGCAAGGCATTGGTAACTCATACCTGTAGTCTTGTTAAACAGAGGGAACAATTCACTATAGTCAATGTACATTATGTTAGAAATGAACTAGGTGCTGAGTGCTGGTGGCTCACACCTGTATCCTAGCTTCTAAGGGGGCTGAGATCTGAGGATCACGATTCAAAGCCAGGCCTGGCAGGAAAATCGGTGAGACTCTTATCTCTAATAAACCACCAGAAAACCAGAAGTGGCACTGTGGCTCAAGTGGTAGAGCGCTCGCCTTGAGCTGAAGAGCTGAGGGACAGCACCCAGGTCTAGAGTTCAAGCCCTATGCCTGACAAAAATAAAAAAGAACTAGGTGACTTGAAGGTAGGGAAGGGAGGGGGAAAATGTGGGAGAACAAAGAAAGTGTTGACATTGACCAAGAAGCATTGTACTCATAACCTGACTTATGGAATTGTAACCCCTTTGTACAATTAGTTGATAATAATAATTTTTGGAAATCTGAAAAGAAAAAAGCAACTGCCATAAGTTAAAGATGTAATTTTAAATTTCTTACCATTATGGAGTATGGACTTTAGGATCCCAAAAGTATAGTTCCTGTTTCTCTTCCACGGGACTTTATTTGGATGACAGAACAGGTATTCAGTGTAGATGTGTATAGAATGTGGGGTGCATGAATTAACGAATGCCTGTGTAGGTGCTGGCTGTGGCACCCTGAAGTGGTTTTCTCTGGTGTCTGCCATCTTTGTGCGTCTTTATTTCCAGGGCTGATGGAACAAGGTGGTATCAAAATAGAGCCACTCCCCAAAGAAGTAAGAGTGTACCTGCTGACCACATCCACGGCCCCATACTGTGGTGAGTAGGGGTGTGCCAGCTTAGCCCTGCCGATGTGGAGGCTGACGGAGGCTAGCCCAGTGTGGGAGCCCAGGCGGAGGGGGAGGACTAGAGCTGGGGCAAAGATGCTCTGGAGGACGGAAGAATCAGAACTGTAAGGATGAGTCCTATGATGGCTCTGCAGATGAGAACTTTGGGGACATCTTACATGCATCGTCCTTGATTCTCCTATGACTGAATGTGTCCTCCAGGGTTCTCTGTAGCTCCTTTCCTCCTTTATGTTTCTTTCTCTCTCCTTGGTGCCCACCCTATTTCCCATCCTGTTAGTCCTCAAGAAAACCCTTGCCTCTGCCTGCCTTCCCCTTCACAGAACCATTCCTATCAGTCCCTGGTGGTACGCACTGTGTTTTCTTGAAGCCAAGGTGATAGGGTGTGGATGAGACAGACGAACTGTGGGAGAGAGGGCGGTCTTGGATCCCATAATGTACACTACAAGCTGAGCCATCAATCCTGCCCATGCAATGTGTATCCTCACTAGGGTGACTGTGCTTCTGGGGCGATGCGTGTTGTCTGGCACCCTCTGCCTGTTTTGTGGGGTGAATAGGACACAGTTATACTGCTGTTGATGGTAAAAGTTTTAGCTGACTTTCTGACCAGCTTGTGTTGAGGTAGTCCAGGGGTCTTTGTAGCTATGTTTTCCAGTTAAAGAAGGTCTGGGGCAATGTCATATGGAGCCTGTAGCTCAGACTGAGTTCATATAGGCCTAGATTTCAATCTCAGTCTCTCCACTTCCCCAGGAATAAGCCAGTTAATCTTTCTGAGACTCTAGATCTTTATGTGGAAAACACAAACAGTCGTGGTAAGTGCCTGCTGGCAAAAATGGATTATGAGGATAGAATAGGGTAGGATTGGGGAAGTCCTGGGCACTGTGAGTGCAACCTAGTGTAACCACTTCCTTCCCTTCCCAAACATTCAAACAACAGCAGAATAGGTTATTTTCTCTCTCAAGCTCACATTGCCATGATCATCACAAACAGGGCAGAGGGAGCCCTTCTAGCAATACAAGCAATAATGAACCCCATATGTCTGAAAGCTTCCTCGGCACAGGCACTGTTCTAGGACTTTGCATGTATTAATCCACTCAACTCTCACTGCAGTCTGTGATACCTACTTTCTTCACCCCTGCTTTACACCTGGGCTCTGAGATGATTAACAATCTGCTGAGGAGCTGAGCTGCTAAGAGGCAGCTGCTTGCATGGCTGCCCTCTGGGGATTTTCCCTCATTGCACCTCTGCCCTCTGGCCCAGCCTTTTTCCCCCTGTTTTGTTTTTCTAGTGCATCACAGCCTCGTGGAGTTTTACTTACAGGAGCCAAGAAAAAAGGACACTAGCATCGAGGTCACCTTTCTTAGCAACAATGTCACCTCTGCAGTTAAAATCACCATGTACGTAAGTGCCCCCCATGGCCGACCCCTCTGCTTTCCTTTTCTATTTGGGCACAAGGAGACATCGCAGAGAAGGCACTTTGGGATTGCTAATGGATGGGTGAAGTCTGCCTAGTGTGGGGATGGGGTAGCACCTGCTAGAGAGCCCCCAACAGTACAGATACATTGGGGGGGGAGGCTGGGAGGCTCCAGGTTTGAGATCAGTACTGGCTCCAAGCACAGTGGATTCAGATGCTAGCAGACAATGCTAGCAGATACAATGATGGATACCCTAGCGGGTGGTTAGTCTGTAGGCATCAGGTCCTAGATAAGAAATGGTGTTTGGGAATCTAAATGGTGGTGCCTCAAGAATGTTGGAAGGTAGGAAGACATACCCAGGGAGGGCTGGCCAGAGTGTGGAGGGCACCATTCCTGGGAAGGGTGGCAGTACTAATTGTCAGAACACAATCCAAGATAAAGGACCAGTTAGTGAATACAGGCAAGGCAAGGGCCAGACTAGAGGCCTGGAGGGCTTAATGATGGTACCAGTGTCCACACCAGGGGCTGGTCATTCCCTTTCTTTGTTGAGACAAGGAATTGGACCTGGAATTGGTGGGGCCAGGCTGGGAGTAAGAAGCAAAGAAGCTCAGCTGCAGAGAGCCATGAGGCTGGCAGAGGCTAGAGTTCAGGAACCACAGTATAGACGTCTTTCAAAAGGAATTGGCCAAGCCACTCACAAGGTAGCGGAAGATAGACTGGTGAGATAATGTCCTTGTTCCAGGCCAACAGAGCCTCATGAAGGGAATTTTACACAGTAAACGAATTCTAGCGACATCAGGAGAGCTGGAAATCAGAGGGAGATTGAGGGCCCAGGGCCAGTTCCCCCTTCCCGTGCTTAGCAGCCCTGCTGGGGTTCTTCTCCCCTCCATCCCCCCACAGCAGGTCTTTTCTATACAGCTGGATCTCATTATTTGTGGCCCCACAGCCAAGGAAGGACCCTACTAGTTACTTCATGCCTCTCCTCCTCTTTCTCAGCTACAGTGGTGCATTTTGTACACTAGGAACCCAAGGGCAAAGACAAGAGAGGCCTGGATTCCTGTGTCACTCTGGGCCCCTTAGGCTGATCTCAATATCTACCAAACCCCGTGGTTCTGCTTCCTGTCAGCACGTGGGGAAGCTGGGATTTGTTTTAAAGCCTGTGTCCCTCCATAGCCAGCTTGCTAGATTTAGGTAACTTATCCAAAGCCCACACAACTGGGAAGAGGCAAAACCTAGATTCTGTCTCAGTCCTGTCTGGCGTCTAAGTCTGCTTTGTTGTTGTTGTTGTTTTGTTCTTTCCATCCACACATTCATACCTAGCCTCACCCAGAGTGGTCTGTAGATACCAGGTTCTCTGGATAGGTAGGCTTCCATTTCTATATAACGGGATCTGAGCATGTAGCTCTCAGCCACCTAGAAGGTCAAAAGTGAAGCAGTTTTCCACAGGGAAAATTCTAAGAGGTACTCTTTTGTTACAGTGTTCACTAGTTTGTTTTCAAAACGCAGCCAGTATTCTCCAGTTGGGTTCAGAACCATGTGTGTGACAGAGGGTGACATAAAACAAGCAAGATGCCAGGCGCTGGTGGCTCACGCCTGTAATCCTAGCTACTAAGGAGGCTGAGAGCTGAGGATCACAGTTCAAAGCCATCCAGGGCAGGAAAGTCCATAAGACTCTTATCTCCAATAAACTGCCAGAAAACAGGAAATGGCACTGTGGCTCAAGAGGTAGAGCGCTAGCCTTAAGCTGAAGCGCTCAGGGACAGTGCCAGGCTGAGTTCAAGCCCCACCACCAAAAACAAACAAACAAAAACAAACACAAACAAAAAACAAAACAAAAACCCCCCACATTCCCCCAAAACCCAAAAACAAAACAAACAAACAAGATGTCCCCATCTTCCAAGAATGTGACAGTGAAAGAACTCCATGGTGACTCATTCTCTTTCCCTTTAGACCTAAACAACAACTCCAGGGCAGAGGACTCATCCCCCACCCCAATCCACAGTGCCAGATCAACCAAGTGAAGCTCAAGTTCCAAGTTTCCAGCCGGGTTTGGAAGAAAGACAGGACTACCATTGCTGGGAAGTTCTGTACTGCCCCTCTACCGGTCAATGACAAGTGAGCTCCTATACCCACCCACCCCAGGCACCCCCAACTCTAGCCCTGGTCCTGGCCTTAGGCATGTTCCTTGATGAGGTTTCATCTCATCACAGTGATTACCAACTCAGAAACAGAGATGGCAAAGACCCTGACCCTCCTGTAGGGCTATCTTGGGTTGAGCTGTTAGGAAGGAAGACAGAGGATGGGAGAACTGGCTTTGACTTCCCACATCCCCTTCAGTAGAGGAAACTCTTATTGGCATTTGGTTTGTAGGGAAGATTTTCTTGAGACAACATCTTTTTTCAGTTATTACTTTTTATTTTTATTTTCTTTGTTTTGCTCCTTGGCCTCCACTTCAAATGTGTCACATTCATGGGTACAGATCTAGAACATGTTCCCTTCCTTCTCCACAAGGCATTAGTTTGATTAATTTTATTATCCCTGGCTCTTAGAGGATCCTTTCAGGCTCTTCCCTCCCTCCTTCCCTCCCTCTCTCCTTCCCTCCCTTCCTCCCTTCCTTCCTTCCTTCCTTCCTTCTCCCTCCCTCCCTTCCTTCCTTCTCCCTCCCTCCCTCCCTCCCTCCCTCCCTCCCTCCCTCCCTCCCTCCCTCCCTCCCTCCCTCCCTCCCTCCCTTCCTTCCTTCCTTCCTTCCTTCCTTCCTTCCTTCCTTCCTTCCTTCCTTCCTTCCTTCCTTCCTTCCTTCCTTCTCCTTCTTCTTCTTTCTTTGTCTCTCTCCTCCCTCCCACTTTCTTTCTTACCTCCCCCTTTTATCTTCCCTCCATCTCCTCCTCCCCTTCTCCTCTCCTTTCTTTCTCTCCTTTCTTTCCTTCTCCCATTCCCTCTCCCTCTCCCTGTACTGGGAATCACTCAGGGCCACATGAATGCCAGTCAAGCACTCTACCACTCTATTCCATCACTAGAAATAGGCTCCACTGTAGATGATGAAAGACTCCTTTTACTAGATAACATGGGCACACAGAGCCACACAATTCCCAGCCCTCTCCCTCGGCCAACTAAGAACTTGCCTGTGTTGCTCTTCTCTTGCAGCAAAAAGATGTTCTGCTTGCCGGAGCCAGTCAACTTACAAGCAAGTGTGTCTGTTTATCATGACCTGGAAATAGCTTGCGTTTAGAATAATCCTGGGTAGGATACATCTTCTTGGATGGTTTGTGAGGGAAGTGAAGTATGTGTATATGAGTGTGTGTGTGCATGCGCGCACATGCGCACCTGTGTACCCACACATGCGCATGCAACTTAAGCTAGACCATTATTACCAGGAGACAGGATCATTACCACCATGGAGAACGGTCCAATTCTTAGTTATTTTCTTCTATAATTAATTACCGTGGGGCGGGGGGGATGACTCATTTTATAGATTAGATGTCCATTGTAATCTGGAAAGCTTTACAAAGATACGATTTCAGCTTCCCTAGTCTTATGCAATTGCCTGAGTCCTTGGGCATCTATCTGTCCTTAGAATGTAGTAGAACTATAAAGAAACAAAAATGTTTTTTTAAATAAAACATCAGGAAATATCTAAATTGTTTAATTGTCTTATTGGAGTATAATCCTGCTATATAGTAAAAAGTAGTTTGCAGTCTGTACCACTAGAGAAAATGGAATTCTCCATATCAGAACAGCCACTGAAAAGAAAGCCTAGAACAAGAGAGGAAGAAGGCCAAGAGGAAGATGACGCCATGTACCACCCCTTCCCACTGCCTCCCCAGGGGTCTGGAGGGGTGGAGGAGCAGAGAGATCTTTTGGAAATATAGGTGGGTTATCTTTGAGTTAGTACTTCTCAAACTTCTCAACTTTGTATTACTATCTTAGGCAGATAAGCAACAGGAAATGCCCTGGACTATGAGATTATATTCTTTTTTCTTTTTTTTTGGTGGGGGTCCGATCGTGGGGCCTGAACTCTGGGCCTGGGTGCTGTCCCTCAGCTCTTCAGCTCAAGGCTAGCACTCTACCACTTGAGCCACAGTGCCACTTCTGGCTTTTTTTCTTTTTGCTTATGTGGTGCTGAGGAATCGAACCCAGGGCCTCAGGCATGCAAGGCAAGCGCTCTACCACTGAGCCAACTTCCCAGCCCTGAGATTATATTCTTAAAGCTCCTAGATGCCAACCTGGACTGACATAATAGCCCACACCTTTACGAACACTGGTGCCCACTCCCCACATCAAAGTTAAAGTGAGAAGGGTCAGAGGATCAAATGGGAAATACAAAGAGGAAAAATCAAGAAGAAAGGGCAAATTACATGCCCAGGCATGTGCCTTTCCACGCATAGACAGCCTCTGTGATTGGCTGACAATTTGGTGAAGGACACAAGAGTAGCACCCTGATTTCTTACCATCTACTAAACCCAACTTATTGGGTAAAACCCCAGAGCTCAGTATTTTCTCAGCTGTCAATCTTTACTTGAACTTCCCCTTGGAGGCATAATTCCACTTCCTAATGCCTCTCACTCTTTACTAGGATCTGACTCTTTGTGGTTCTTCTGCTGTACCCGAGTAGTCTCCTAATTTTAGATAGTATACACAGGAATAGGGGAACACTTGGAGCACACTATTGGCCAGTAACAGTGTCAACCACATACCAGCAAGGTGAAAACAAAACAAAACACAAAATGTGGGTAACAATGACAATTTAATAGAACAAGACTACAACCATTCTTCGTAGGAGAAATCACAAGGAGTAATGCAGGTCCTTGGGACTAGTGGCAATGTAAGCCCCAGTACTGGCACACACAAAAATAAAAAGAAAGCTGGGTGCTGGTGGCTCATGCCTGTAATCCTAGCTACTCAGGAGGCTGAGATCTGGGGATCGCAGTTCAAAGCCAGCCGGGGCAGGAAAGTCTGTGAGACTCTTATCTCCAGTTAACCACCAGTAAGCCAGAAGTGGTGCTGTGGCTCAAGTGGTAGAGCACTAGCCTTGAGCTGAAGAGTACAGGTACAGCACCCAGGCCCAGAGTTCAAGTCCCACGCCTGACAAAAAAATGAAATAAAATAAAAAATAAAAAAAGAAAGAAAGAAAAAGAAAGGGAAAGGAGGAAAAAGAAGCAGACACTGAGGAGCACTGATCACAGGGCTAGGAAGTGAAGGAGCCAGGAATCAACATATGCTTTCTGGTTCCAAGAGCAGGTGATAAACCAGTAATCTGACCAGGTGCAAAATCAAGACATTCAAAACCCTGGTCAGATAAGTCTCTCCAAAGGACCACAATGGATGAACCCCTCCCCACAGAACTGACTATATAATTTTTAGAAAATATAGGCTCTGTGTGTGTGTGTGTGTGTGTGTGTGTGTGTGTGTGTGTGTGTGTGTTTGGTGCCAGTCCGAGGGCTTAAACTCAGGGCCTGGACACTGTCCCTGTGCTCTTCTGCCCAAGGCTAATGCTCTACCACATGAGCCACAGCTCTACTTCCAGCTTTTCTGCTGCCTAATTGGAGTGAACAGTCTTATGGATTTTCCTGCCTGAGTTGGCTTCAAACTGTGACCCTCAGATCTCAGTCTCCTAACTAGCTAAGACTACAGGTATGAGCTACTGGTGCCCTGCTAGAGTCTTATTTTAAAAATAAATGATTGCACACACTCAGGAAGCCAGCGTGGTAACCACTGAGCCTCTCTCAGTACTTCCTGATAGGCATTCCAGAAAAGCTCAAGTAGTGCAGCTGACTGTGAACCCAGAGAAAGCTCCACAGGCTAAGGAAGAGACCTGAAAATGGAGCCAAGTCATGTAGAACATTTGAAAGTGCAAGTGCTGCTTATGGAAAAGTATCCAGACTCTGGTATAATTTTTAGGTAAATGATGGATCAGGCTCCTCAGGCCTTTCTACACTGGAGGCTGCTATGGAGTGCCCCTACCCTGCTCCCCCAGAAGCCTACATGGTAACAGGTGGGAAGGAGCCCATCCCTTGAAGTGTTCTGGGAAGACATGCCCCAGCAGCTGGAGCACAAGGGACAGCAGAGTGATCACCAGCAAGGGGGACTTGTGCTCAGTTTTGAAGGGCAGGGCCCCCGGTTTCATCACAGGGAAGAACAGAATTGGACTGGGACAGGAGTGAAGAGAAGATGCCATCATTGGTGGACGTGACTGCAGTCAAAGAAGAGTTGTAGGGCCCACAGCTCATGGCGGTCTCCACATGCTCAACGCTGTTCTCTGCCAGTGGCTTCTAGACTGTGCCTTGATTACAATCTCTCCATGAAAAACTGGGGAATTGTATCTATTGCTCTAACCCTGGTACCCAGTATATATAGCCTTTTTCAAATGTTTGTTAGAATATGGCTGGTTGAATTGCTTGCTTGCTTGCTTGCTTGCTTCCTTCCTCCTTCCTTCTTTTTATCTTTCTTCCCTCCCTTCTCCTCTCCTCCCTCCTTCCTTCCCTCCCTCCTTCCTTCCCTCCCTTTCTTCCTTCTTTTGTGTTGGAATTGGGGTTTGAATTCAGAGTCTCTAGTTCTTGCTACACTTGTTTGTTCATACTGGTTCTATGTCCTTTGAGCCATGCCTCCAGTTAGGCATTTTGTAGGTTAATTTAATATGGAATATCTTAGACTTTTCTGCCTGGGCTGGCTTTGGAGCTCAATTCTCTGGGCCTCAGAATCCTGAGTTTTCTGAGTAGCTAGGGTTAAAGGTGTGAGCCACCAGAGCCCAGCTTACATATAAATTTCTTATCTTTACCGTTGGACCCCTCAGGAGAACAATAAAGGTGGAGTTTTTCTAGCATCCCCCTCAATAAAATCTAGGGTATAAAATACACTCATTTTCTTAATAAAACCCAAGATTTCCACAGTGGTTTACCAGACATTTTTTTTTAATTCCTTTGCATAAAAATCACATTCTTCAGGTCAGAAGGCCATAGTAGACCTCTAAATACTTTGAGAGATCTTTGTTTTGTTTTGGTTGTGGGGCTTGAACTCTGGGCCTGGGCTCTTCCACTCAAGGCTAGAGCTCTACCACTTGAGCCACAGAGCCACTTCTGGTTTGCTGGTAGTTAATTGGAGATAAGAGTCTCACGGATTTTCCTGCCCTGGCTGGCTTTGAACCTCCATCCTCAGACCCCAGCCTCCTGAGTAGTAGCTAGTACAGGAGTGAGCCAATGGCACCTGGCTCTTCGACAGATCTTTTGAGCTCACAGATTACTCTTTCTCTGGGCACTGACCCTTACCTGAGATGTATATCCTCAAGTGAACATTAAGGCCCTGTCCTCAGCTGCGGCTGGCTTCCAAAGTGGGCACTTGACTTAAGCTGGATCAGACAGATCTCTTGTGCAAATTGTGTGTGTGTGTGTGTTGGTACTGGGGTTTGAACTCAGGGTCTTATGGTCCTGCTTAGCTTTTTCTCTCAAGGCTGGTGCTTAACCACTTGAGCCATACTGTAAATAAAAGTCAGGGATTTTTTTTTTTTTTTTTGGCCTGGACTGGCTTCAAAACCAAAGATCTTCGAAACCTCAGATCTCAGCCTTCTGAATAGCTGGGATTACAGGTGAGAGCCATAGCACTCGGCACATTTAAACACATTAAACTCTATCAGAGAAAGTTATGGTTGCACATAAAGGGCATTTATTATATTGAAACATAAGCATTCCTTGACTGCTGAATTCTTTCCCAGCTCCAGCTCTTCCCCTATGTTCCGCAGGCTGAAAGTGACATACTGCGTCCCTAGCATTAAACATATCTCTGGCCCCACCCTGGGTTCACTCCAGGCCTGAGGTGACCTTTACAGCCCATTCTACATCAGAGAGACTTCTTCCCCTGTGTGCAGAGTTTGGGAGTGATGAGAACACCGCAGCACACAATCCTTTCATGGTTCTAAGAAATTCTCTCTGGCTCTCAGTGTTCACTCCTCTTCTCTGAAGCCACAACTTTTTGTTTTATGTGGCAGTGGTCCAAATTCCATCTACCCAACAGCAAATAGACATCTTTCCCTAACTTTGTCGTTGCTTTATGATGACAGCCATCCTTCCTCCACACTCATCCAGGCTAGAAGCCTGAGTCATCTTTGACTGAGAACATCACAATGCTAAAAATAAACAAGTCATTTCCATCTCTTCCTTAATATCTAATTTATACTCAGACACTGTCTCATTTTCTTTCAGTGTATGTGACTGATGTTGGCTCTGTCCTGTCTGTTTCTTCTGTAAAAACTATGGGTTTTGGCACAATGTCAGCTTTGGTATCTGTTCCTCTACATACCACCTCCCCCCATTATGTTTACCCATGTCTAATAATTCCTTCTCAAACCACTTATTTAATCATTCATTCATTCATTCATTCATTCATTTTTGTCAGTCCTGGGGTTTGAACTCAGAGTACCTCGTCCTTTATTCAGATACCTGGAGCTCATGTTGGAGTCCTGGTGGACAGGGGTCAGGAGGTCCCTCGAGGTGACTCTAAATCTTTTTTTTTTTGTTCAGGTGTGGGGCTTGAACTCAGGGCCTGGTCACAGTCCCTGCACTCTTTTGCTCAAGGCTAGTGCTGTACCACTTT